TATATATATATATATATATATATTAACCATATCGTGGCTTTATACCACGACCCTCATCAAGCTGAAGGACACGCGATCGCAGCAATGCAGGACGAAGCTGCCCCGGCAGAGCCTGCATCGTCCGACGAACCGTGTATGTTTTCCCTCGACGGCATCCCGGCCGAGCTGCGGCGACGGCTAGAAGCGCTGGATGGCGCTGCTATTACGCGGACAGTTTCCGTCTATGAGGGCTTCGGCTCCTTTCATTCCGAGAACGTCGAGGATTTGGTGGCGATGGACACGTTGACGTACCGCCCGCCGCCGCTTCCGGTGTTTTCGCGCAGAATTCTGGGCTGCAGCGAGCTGCAGGAGATGGACGTCGCCAGAGACGAGGATGAGCGCATGGGCATCTGGAGCCGGCGCGTGCAGCTGTGTGACTTTGGCCTGCCGTTCCGCGAGGAGCACTTCGCCATCACGCCGGAGTTCGTGTTCATCAACCACGGCGCCTTTGGCGGCTCACTGCGCGGTGCGCTGGCGATGAAGCACCGCTACGAGGAGATGATGGAGCGCGAGGTGGTGGAGTACATGGACCGCGATTTGCTTCCGCTCATCGTGTACAGTGTCCGGCGTCTCGCAGAATTTCTCAACGCCAGTCCAAGACAGGTGGTCCTCGTGCAGAACGCGACGTACGCGTTGAACTGTGCGATGCACCTTATTGAGAAGGATGACGTGGTGGCGTTCTTCGACACTGAGTACCTTTCTGTGTACAAAATGATGTATTTTCGATGCACAGAAGTTGGTGCCTCTTTCCATGAGATCGCGCTCTCCAAGTATTTGCACGACGCCTCGCTCATGGGTGATGACGCGGCCTTGACGGACGAGATATGCCGTCATCTTCCGACAGGATGCACGACAGTTGTCTTCGATTACATCACATCGACCAGCGCGCTCTGTCTGCCGGTGTTTACGCATATTGTTCCCGCGCTGCGGCGCTGTGGTGTAACGAAGATCATCGTGGATGGCGCCCATGCACCGCTGCAGTTAGAGGTGAACCTTAACGACCTGCCGCCAGAGGCGCAGCCCAGCGTCTTGATTGGAAACCTACACAAGTGGTTCTCCATAGCCAAGTCTGTCGGCTTCATGTGGGTTCACGCAGCGCTTGTCGATTCCCTGCACTCCGTTGTTCTCTCACATGGCGCTGGTAACGGTCTGCTCTCGGAGTTCATCTGGGACGGCACGCGCGACTACGGCGCCTATCTCTGCATCCCCGCGGCCATTGACTTCTGGCGCGCGCAGGGCCTCGAGCGCGTGCGGCGCCACTGCTCTCTTCTGCTGCAGCGCGCCGCGGAAATGCTTACACACGCCTTTGGCACACGCCCCGTTGCCCGCCACGCCCCGTTCATGTCACTTGTCGAGCTCCCCGAGGCGCTGCAGACGCCGTGCATGACGGCGAAGTATATTCAGGACCTGCTGCACGACGTGTACAAAGTGGAGGTCCCAGTCAAGCGCGTGGAGGGGCGCTTTTATGTGCGCATCAGTGCCTTTGTCTACAATACGCCGGACGAGTACGCATACCTGCGCGAGGCGGTGCTCGGTATCGCACGCGAGTGGCTGCGCTCCGACGAGCGGCAGTTGCTGCTCGCGCAGGAGGCGGGCAACTGCGCCGACGCACCGCGTGTTCCGTGCGACAAGCACATCCGTGAGCAGGGCGGGTGTGGTTTGACGGGGCTTGAGCCGGTGCTGAAGCGAAGGAAGGGTTCCAGGTTCTAGCACCGCTATTATTTCAGTTCTTCCCCTTGCTTTGGGGAGAGTTAAAGGGAATATCTAGGAAAAGAAGAAATAGTCGTCAAAGACGCGGCGCCAAGTGTACCGCGCGAGAGTAGTGCAGCTGCGTGGTTATGCGAAGATGTGCCGTGGGGTTTCAGCCGATTGGCGCTGCCGTCGTCCTCCACCTGCGTGTGCCCCGGCGCCGCCATTCGCGTTTGGCACAAAAAAAAACTATATATGTTACATTTGTGTTCCCTTTTTGTTGTTTGTTTCCCCAAGCGATGCGACCCATCTTCGAGTCTTTTTGTTGCAAATTCTTTTCTTCGGACGAGTGCGGGTGCGAGTCGACGCCGCAGCAGCTCTCAGTCGCCATTGGCGCACGCCCATCTAGGCATTCCCGCTCTTACACATGCGGCCCAGCCTTCGTGTGTTCACTCACACTTTTTTTTTTATTTTCATTTTCTCAAACCCCGTGCTCCTCTCCCTGTCTTGTTCTTTCGTCGCGAGGACGACGCAGCAGCAGCAGCAGTGCCACAGGAAATCATAAAAGAAACGAGAAGACAATGCCGCCAACGAAGGGAGGGAAGCGGCCCATTCCGCTGGGCGGCAAGGGCAAAGGCAAGCGGTCGGCCGGCCGCACAACCAAAAGCCCCAGTGGCAGGAAGAAGGGCGGCGCCCGCCGCGGCAAGAAGCAGCAGCGCTGGGATTTGTACATCCACCGCACCCTGCGGCAGGTGTACAAGCGCGGTACGCTCTCCAAGGCGGCCGTGCGCGTGCTTTCCTCCTTCATTGAGGATATGTACAGCAAGATCCAGACGGAGGCGGTCCACGTGGCGTGCATCAACAACGTGAAGACGTTGACGGCACGAGAAATTCAAACCTCGGCACGTCTCCTCTTGCCGCCGGAGCTGGCGAAGCACGCCATGAGCGAAGGCACCAAGGCAGTCGCCAAGTACAACGCTTCGCGCGAGGAGGCCTATGCGAAGGTGGTGTAAGTGTCGCACCAGTACTGGTGCGACAGAGCTCCACTTGATGGGGCTTTTTATAGACATATGCGACGAAGAGAGTGACCGTGGCTTGCCACATTCCACTTTGCGATTTGGGGGGAAAGGAAAGAAAAGAACCTTGACAGATCAGCACGAAAGCCATAGCCGATGCGACCGCTGAAAAGAAGAAAATATAAGAAAGGGCATGAGGGAAAATCCGTTTCTGGTGAAAAAAAATTTTCTGTTCAATGTTTTTTCTGTTCTTCTTATATTCTTGCTCAGATCTTACTTTAGAGGCAACATGACAAGTTGGCGGAACGTTCTCTCGGTGTTCCAGCACATGGTATACCATGCGCTTACTTACATGTTGGGTTGGGTTGCCCCATTGGCTGTATGCTGTTTGTTTCTTTCATTCTTGCCCGTGGACGCGCAGTGGTTAGATAGGCTTAGAGAGAATGGAGCCAGCGGGGGTTCCGGTGGCTCTACCTGAGGACAGGTTTAATGGCAGTCCTGCTGCTTTAGGCAAGCTAAGGCGCACGCGGTGGTGCGGCGTCACCTGCATCTGGAGCCCCGATGCGGCAGTGTACTGTGTCCCAACACTCATCACGCTCACCCTCGTTTTTGGTGTCGTCTTCACTCTGTGGGACGAGCTTGGCCTTGTCGAACTGTGTGTGCTGTTCGCGCTGCTCTCTGTCGCCTTCACGAGTTCGCTACTCGTCGTTTCAACAGACCCAGGCGTGTACCCGCGGTTGCGTCCGGCGGAGGTGGATCCGTTTCACAACGACAGGAGCCTCGTGTACTGCCGCGTGTGTGCACTGCGGCGGCCCCCGCGGACTTCGCACTGCTACCAGTGCAATGTGTGCGTGTGGGAGCATGACCACCACTGCGGTATCATTGGTGGGTGTGTTGGGCAACGGAGTCTTCGCTGGTTCACGCTGTACCTCTTGACAACAAGCGGTGCGTCCTCGATGGGTGTGTTCTGGGTCTGTCGCTCACTATTCACAGGTGCCTTCGCAGTGGCAAGTCGAAGGCAATTCGCCAACGGCATTCCTCGTAATCGTTCAGCGTCAGTATTGGCAATGCAGAACGAACGCGACGACGACGCCGTGAAACCCCTCGTTGTTGTGACACTATTAGTCTTGTTGCTGCTCGTTGTGTTCTTGGTGGGGAGCCTTGCTATTTTCTACGTGTACCTGGTGCTCACCTCGACTACCCGCCGTGAATCACAGCGCATGGAATCGAAGCCAAGCACATTGCTGCAGCCCAAAATAATGTGGGACAATCTGATGCATGTATTTCATCCGCCGCGTTCGATGCTGATTGCCCGCAACGATGAGATCAGCCCTTTGGTGTGAAGACGCCTTGCTCTCTCTATCTCTCTTTCTCTGCTTGTCAATCCGATTGATTGTCGTGTGCGGGCACGTTTTGTGAAGAGGTGAGCGTTTTGGAGTGTTTTGACTCTGACATCAATGCCGAGCTTACGCCCATCTGCCTCGCCTAAATATGAAGGGCGTATTTCTCCGCCATTATACATCCTCCCTCATCTGCCTTACACCGGAGGTGCGGACTTCTGCCGACATCCCCGTTTTGCGTTCATGTGACGCGACGGTTCAGTGTATGGTGGAGTAGTGGCCTTTTCTTTTGTGTGTGTGTGTGTTCTTCGCCGTCGTGTTCGGCACATCTGTGGAGGGGCGCACCCCGCCGGAGATACACGCCGGTCGCCGGGCAGACAACGCATGCACCCACGCTGAATAGCGGGCAAGCGGTGGAAGCGCCAACGAGAGGGGGCCGGACGGACTTCTTCTCGAGCCCCCATGTTGGCTGGCGTTAATGCTTCTGTAACGACAACACAGAAAAAGAAAAAGGGTGTGTGCATTTTTCGCTTTGTGTGTGTGTGTGTGTTGCGCTGGTCACGCCGCGGCGCACCACCCAGTGGCTTGTTTCCTTGTTTTCTCGGCTTTCACTTCCGCACGCTTACTCTCTCTCTCTCTCTCTCTCTCTCTCTCTCTCTCGTGCGCCCACCAATTGTTAGGGAGATAAGAGTCGGTGGAAGGGAGCGAACACGTCAGCGTGCCAACAGAACAGTGAATGGTGCAGCACGTTCCAAGTGTTCCTCGAGACGGCGCGGCACCACAACAACAACACGACACGCAACACAAAATGACCGATGGCCCCTTCATCGCCGTGGCCTCCGACATGGACGGCACGGTGCTTGACACCAATCACCACCTCACTGACTTTACGAAAAGCACGCTGTACGAACTCTCGTCGCTTGGCGTCCACGTCATCATCGCTACGGGGCGCCACCACCTCAGCGTTGCCTCCACGAAGCAGGACCTTCTTCAGTACTACCGAAAGAGGAGGCAGACAGCAGGGGCATCTGGCTGTCTCAATGGCAATGAGGGTTTATACATCATAACATCGAATGGGGCGCGAGTGCACAACCCGGCTGGTGAGGCGATCGTCTCACGTGACCTGGACAGCAGTATTGTGAGGACTCTCTACGAGAAGTTCGCTCTCCGCGATCACGGAGAATCGCCGCAGAGCATGGTGTCAACCTCGGCGTACCAGACAAACATATGGTGGCAGAACCGTACGTTCATGAGTGCGGAACGGATGCTGGAGAAGTTCGGCGTCGTGCCAGAGGTGCGGCCGAATATCATGGAGGACTTTCCCACCACCGGTGTTGGCAAAGTGTGTTTTCGCTGTGAGAACAGGGACATCCTACATCAGTACGAGAAGGAAATCAACTTGATGTTTCATGGACGCGTAGAGGCAGCAATGTCGTCTGACCTGTGTCTTGATGTGATGGCCGCTGGCGTCTCGAAGGGAACAGCGCTGCAGGAGATCGGCAAAATCTTAAACTTCGACCCTGCGCGGGATGTCATTGCCTTCGGCGACAGCATGAACGACAGGGACATGCTGGCTACTGTAGCGAAAGGCTGTGTGATGCGTAACGGGCAGCAGCGGTTAAAAGCCTCGCTTCCAAACGCTGAGGTAATTGACTCCAATGACGAGGATGGCGTTGCACGAAAGCTGCGAGCGGTCTTTCAGATGGACACAAACTAAGGTCTCACGCAACACCTCACACTGCGAGGTTGCATTCTGTGAACAGTGGAAATAATAGTGCCCCGCGGCGCTGGGCCTCTAGGAATTCCCCGCAAAACCGGCGGGCTTCACGCACGGCGTAGGTACGCTTCCGCTGTTGAGCACGAGCCCAACCACAACGCCTAATTCCAAAAGTATGCGCATAACTTCAATCCATATAACTGTATGGTTAAGTGGGATTCCTAATCAGTGCGAATAGACCTTCACTCGGCCAAGACACCACACAGTCGGCTGGGGTATCACCATGATTCAACAACAGCCTGCACCGACGCCATCAATAATGTTCAGTAATCACGGACCGTCCACCTCTTCAAACAAAGCAAAGAAAGCTGTATTTCTCACAGCACAGGCTAGGCTCCAGTTCCACTACACCAGCCCAGGCTGGACACCTGGGATCAGGAGGCACCGCAGCAAGTTACACACGTTCAACACGCGTGCAGCAGCATACGGTCATCACTCTGACAAAAACTTACACCCAACGCCCCTCAAAACAAAAAACTGGAAACAAGCACCACGCGCACAAACAACAATATTCATGCTGGTACACTAAACAAGCACATAACACCCTTTTTCCTCCCTTTTGTCGATTGGCAGGCACTAGCATACAAAGTATCAAAAAGGCTACGCAACGCGAGTGCCGCGCCAGTCTCAATCGGGCACGCGAGATCAGCAGCACCGTGGCGTACGGCTGGAGACATGATGCGACAAATCGAGGCATTTGTATGACCGCGACGTGACTTACAACTCCGTGCAGCAAGCTACCTACCATAGGCACGGGACTGACGCACCAGCCTGCCCTCCACTCCCTTCCCCCTCTTTCCTTG